ATATATATATAAGGATATATATAGATCTATATTTAATTGAAAGGTACAATCTGAAAATTCATTTCCTATGGATTGGTCACATCTCAGTGTGCTATGTGAATTGAAGTAGGTCCAGAATGCGTGATCCATGAGTTCTCGTACATATCAGGCTTTCATCGTTATCCCCATATGTACACTGTACTGATTTAGCCATAAATCAAGGGAAAAGGATAGTGATTTCGACATACTTTGTATTTATTTATATACAACCAAGGCCCTCCGAAGAAGGTCTCTTGAGTAAAAGTATGTAATCGTCTATTTATTGTTATCTCCTTTGCGACTTTCTCTCTCTAGAGTGCGATGATTCAAATATACTATTTAAGATAGATCAGTTGAACAATAAATAATCCATGGGTTGATGGGTTGATGTCTTGTGAACGTCTTGTCTTGAGTGTCTTGTTGGTGTATATTTGCTTGGATAGAGATGGACTTGACAACTCACACTCACGCAGTATCAAGTAAACATGCTATTATTTATTATCATTTTATCGTCACCTGTTAGTATTTATGTTTTTTTTTGTTGAGAAGGCTATGTATATATAAAATATTAAATATCACGTGGTTCATACTGACGTCATAGCAGCTGTCCCTGGTCCCGGGAACGAGCCGTGAATGCCAATAAAAGCTCGACAATGGACAATATCCCAGACCCCAGTGTCTCCTCACTCATCAGCCATCACTCACACTCGTCAGTCATCACAATCATTCCTGAATCCAGAATAGTGATCACGTTCCCACGACCCAGACTCCCAGACTCCCAGTGTCCCACACACATGTGTTCGAATGATTTTATTTAAAACCTAAAAATAAATTATACCAATAACCCGCCTTGCAATATATAGAGTAGAAGGCAGCCCGTGTACATATTCAATGTAGTGGAATGTAGGATGTATGTATAACATTGGTTTTTTTTCAAACGCTTTACAACACGTCCCGCAGCAGTATTTAGATACAAGTTTAAATACAACACATTACACTAGTCTGTTAAAATAACCAGCTGCGCAAGTATAAGTATCCGAGTACAGTACTCGGCGTGTATATGCTTGTTTAAGTCGGCTTTTTTAAGTCGTGGAATGGCTGCGTGTGCTTCCTACAACCCCTTAACAGTGTGCATCATAACACCCTGGGAAAGCTAGCAGGGGAACCGTGGTCATAAACTATTATAACCATCAAACTCAGAATTAGATAAGACTAAAATACGGCCATATATTCCTTATTTCATATAGTGTTTAACGAATAGATAGACACCCATCGCAACTTCACATAACTTTTAACATGGGCAACGACAATACTGCGAAGGATGTGGTGGTGGAGGGCGTAGTTTCCGACTTTTTCGAAGGCGCGGAGAAGCTACTTGAATTGTGGTTTGAGCCCTCAGAAACAGGACAATCACTGCGGTTGATAAAACGGGAGGATATAGATGAGTTTTTGCGTGTGGCGGGTTGCTGCGTTGTCGCGCAGTGCTCCAACGAGAAGTGGGATTCCTATGTCCTGAGGTGAGTGAGCGAGTAAAAAAATGCAACACAAGTTCATTGTAGCAACCGATTATGCCTTGGCGTAATGGCTATTACTTGTACTACATAACATCCTGCAATACCAAGGGACACCCTAGTCTGTTCTCACATTATGATATTGTGATGCTTTGTGTGGGTTTTTTTTCATAGTCCTGGTTGATTCTCATGCCTGCGTGAAGTAAGCATGTGTTTGGAATGGGCCTTATAAGCTTGCGTCAGCTGTTCCAAATGTTGTACAGCCTGTGCCGCCAGTGGGGCTTAAAATCTTGTCATAGTCGCATGCGGGATCATATTTAACATAAAACAAAACTCGTTTATAAACTGAACACTCACTGGACTATCACTTCGTCGTTTTGGTTTTATGCGCCAATCGACAGTGAGAGCAGCCTCTTTATCAGCGATGACATGTTTCTGCTCAAAACCTGCGGCACCACAACACTTCTGGCGGCTATTCCTAACATGATTTCGCTGGCGAAGGATCTCGGGCGCAATAACGTTGATGTAAGTGCCAACTGAGTAAGGCAACGAGTGGATTCTCTGTTTAGACTGCCGGAATGTTTAATTAGTTTCGAGTGTACATACGAATTACTTCCGGGGTACACGGCTTCTCTTGTGTCCCAATGACCTGTTCTAGACATAGCACACCCACGTGCGTATCTTACGATCTGTATTCATTCTGTATACATATAGACGTGTTCATAGTGTGCACATGTGTATATAGTGATTATGTGCATGCGCGCTTATCATTCCCGTCTCTACATAAATTTCCATGTTGTACACATGAGTGAGGGAGGAAAACAATAAGTTGCGAATAATACGTTCTCATATGCATACACGAATTTATTGCCCGTTCATAAATAGCTATATTCATTGGGTGACTTTTCTTGTCAGTGTTTCACATTTGGTTCAACTCACTTACGACAAATAAAAGGTTGCGACCCCATCGATCGAAAATCTGTCAATGTATCGTCTGCGATGTCGCATCCCCTGGATCTTTTCAATGGGAATCGATAAAACTGCTTGAAAAGCTACCAAACTATGGGTATTCTATTTCGAAGTAGCTATGTTATATATGTATATATATATATCACAGTATGCGAATAAGTTTGCATGTATGTGTAATACTCGTCCTGTACCTATTGTCGTTTGAACTATTGACTATTGCTAGCGGAATAGTATCACAAAATTGTCTGAGAACGATGCCTCGAAGACTGTTTTCCAAATGGGCATTCTTCTTGTGCTGCATGTTTTTATCGGCATTCATATGTTGTCACATGTGACTGTACTTTCACTTATTTAATTTCATTAGTTGGATCAAGCTAATCAGAATCTGTACCTTCCTGGCACTCGAAGCCTACTTTTCTATTGATCTATTCGTTTGGTGCTGGCACGCTAGTTTTGCAGCCCTTACGATTCAGCCATTACACTCGCATACACGCACACACCCCTACGTATATCTCGAAACGCACGCATCCTACACATACACGCGCTATACCTGTTCTATTTGCTAATTCGTACAAACCATTCCCAGTCATTTTCTGAACCTTGCACATAGAGGTGGGCATCATGCCCCACTCACTCAAATAAATTCGTTGACTTGTTGCCCTCGCTTGACTCGCACTTACCCGAGGGATCGGCTCATTGTACATCTGCAGCATACGCCGTGAGTAGTGTACCATACGTGAATCGTGTCCTGCTTGAACTCACACGCACTCGCGCATACAACAGGATGTTTTCTACTCTCGTAATCAATTCATGGAGCCGGAACAGCAACCCGCACCGCATGTGAGCTTCGAAGAAGAGGTGAAGTTCCTGGACTCTCTGTTTGACGGCGCTGCGTACCAACTGGGGCGGCTCAACGGAGATTCCTGGTACCTATATATGTTGGATCACCCAGATGGCTCGATTGAGAAACCGGATCAGACCATGGGTAGGTGGTAATCAATGTGAGTGTTTCTATGCCTTACTATGCCTTAGAGGAGGGTGAATGATTATGGATGGTGCTGTAAGTATCTACTGCTTTCTTGCATTCCTACTCATATATATATATGTATATACATGGGTATCAGCACATGTAGTGTGTACATGCGGAGTGCGCACAACTTAACTTAGTATATGGGCGCCCTACACCCCGTGTTAGTTCGTGAAGCACTGTAAAAAAAAAGCCCATCTATACGCTATGCTCTTTCTTGTTGAGTGGAAGAATCTCTGATCTACTTGACGTTTGCTATATAATATGCTTTAGATTTAGTGTTACTACTCATCACTCGATCTAATTGGAAATTCGGCATTCTCCTGCCTGGCCGTACCATACTACAGAAATTTTGATGATGGATTTGGACCAGGAAGCCATGAAGGCCTTCCATGTATCGCCTGAGTACCCCACAACCGAAGTGGTGACCAAAAAGTCAGGGATTGCCGACTTCTTACCCGGAGCCATGACATCCGGGGCATTGTTTAATCCATGTGGATACAGTGTCAATGGATTGCTGGGGGATGCTTACTTCACAATACACGTTACACCCCAGGAAGGGTTCTCATACGCGAGTTTCGAGACCAATTACTTGGCCGAGGATTACACAGAGCTGATCCAAAAGGTGTGTTCTTGCGTACTCATGGGCATGTGAGTACCGGCTCTGATGTGTTGTGATAGTCGAATTGGGGTTTGGAATGTGCATCTCATGACACGTAGTAGTATTGGAATGCAGACCTTTATGTTTACAGGCACAACTGCCCAACCCATAGAGTTCAACTTCGGTGCAGCGTCCGTTGGAGTCCATTCGCCCTGCAAGGTGTAGCAACACAGTCTTCGTGTCTGTGTTGCTCGCCCACACAGCAGGCTAGGATGACGCTCTGTATCGGGCACGTTCACTGCCTCGATTTGTAACTCATTTGGGGAGATCAATGTTCTTTTGCATAAATTAGCGGAGTGTTGCAGGACCTTGTGCGTGCGTGGCACATCCATGGCAAGTTTTTTGTCGTGTCACTCATGTGCTTGATTCCGCTTTATTGCCACCCCGTCAGTCCGCACCGATACATTTTAGTATGTTGTAACATCTCAACAAGTATTATATTTTTAAATTTTTAATACATATTGTGTGTATACAACATTATCTCCACTGTACAACCAGTATCCTCTAGTATTGCGTATTATGCAGTAGTTCCGAAGCTATGGAAATTTGGGCTCACTGTTCGGGTCCTTGTATGGATTCAGATGTCTGTCGTAAAAGATGTGTATATTTATCATTGTACGATATATATATATATGTGTGTGCGTGTGTGTGTTCATTATGTAATATATAAAGAGTAGCATATACATTGGGAGGGGATGTAAAATTCAATTATACAGGTTCACATGTGTCTGCTGGCCTTCCTTGAAAGGTGTTAAGCTCTTTACATTTATGTTTATTGGGCGTGTATCTTCATATGTCGTAGTGGACCTAGAGTTTCCGCTGTACCACTCTAGGTACCCCTTATCTCACTACTTCTTACTTTCTCCAGACAAGATCATATAAATGTATATGATAAGTGCGACTATGATTTTTCATGCGCTTTTCCTGACATATATTCTAACCACATTTGGCCGCACCAGCTGATGGAGAGTGTTATATGCCGCACACCCTAGGAACCAGGTCTCGCCTTTGTCCACCATCCCTATGTGGATGTATATGAAATTTTTGCCCACAAGTTTGTCTCGACAGTCGTCGTAGCAAACCATCTGTGCAAGTTTGCTCACCACATATTTGCATCTGGCATGCACAGGTACTGAAGACCTTTTGCCCCGGCAAGTTTGTTATGACGGTCTTTGCCAATCCCCAGGCCACGTGCACGCACTCAGCCAAGGCCTACGACGCCGAAGAACTGACAGGCTACAATCGCACCGAGCGCCAAGAGTATCAGTTCAACAAATACAATTTAAGTTATGGCCACTTTTCACGAGATTTGGCCACATCGACTGAGGATGTGTCTAGAGCTAGTGCGACAGCGGATCATTGCAGATAGCAGTATGGCCCATGTCGCGATAAAATAAATAATTGTGTACGAATTCACGTTCCGATCCTGATTATTGTGCGTTAATAGCATACTGGCTGTCAAATCTAATTTATTCTTTGCATTGTTATATGATTTGTGAGCGAATGCACTTATATGATCTTCTTATTCATAAGAAATATTTGTTTTTCGTATGTGCCTAGTTTTGTGACAGCATCAATTCAGGCGTTGCGACCCCTTTCCGAATGGGAAGTACCGTCACATTGCTATCCGATTCTTTAGCAACCGCTACATTGACTCTCGGCGCAGCATAAATAGCTTGTATTTGGGCTAGCGGTTTGTGCTGTAGACGATGAACTCCGTGCTAACTACTGCCGCACTGGAACTCGATACCTACTGCGTCACTGAAGTGGACATGGGAGGTTCGTGCGATCGTCAAGGCCGACGACTCGGCGGGCGATGACGCAATCGTTTCCGGCGAAGAAACAGACGAGGTACTCAAGGTTGTTATATTCATTGTCGTTGTGCTGGGGTGGATTCATCGAGACGCTTTAGCTCAGCTGGAGTCTCATATTCTGTGCACAGCCTGGACATAGCAATGGGTGCAGTACATCTGCCGGTAGTATCCGTCGCTTTATTTCTTGTCTCTGCGTCTGTGACCAGCGGGACTCCTTCACCAGAGCAGCACTAGTCGGACCCATATTGTGCATTCATAGCGCAGTGATGCGTCCCCCAACCAGTAGATATAGCACGCTCGCCTGCCATTCTCTCCTGGTGTCTAAGTAATCGACGCACGTGCCGCAATCGGCCCTCATCGGAGGTGTGGTACCGTCGGTTTGCGTAGCATCAGCCGTGGTGGTCAGTTGGGAATAGTTGTGAGGCGTTGTCGTGGATTTTAGTGAAGGTGTAACAGCTCCATTTCGCATTCTGCCTGGTTGGGGTATGGTACTATTGCACTGATTTGTCTTCATCGTGCTCGCCGATTGCCTCGGTTGGACAGAATTCGTTGAAGCCTGTGCCCATCAAAATAAGTGGTTGTCGCATAGGAAGCTCTTCTCTGAGTGTCTCGGAAGCACGCGTGCCCTTGGCAATATCTGGTCCTTGTGCTGCATCCTTTCGGATGTTTGCGCAGTTCCAGAACTCCTCGAATATCTGCGAGTGGCCCAGGCTGTCATTGTCTGGAGGACATGTGTTCGTGGTGTAGTAGTGTCAACGCAGTACGCAGTTGGTAACTAAAATTGCGTCTTCAGTCTTGAGGCTGTGCAGGAAGCGCGAAAAAGTTGCTAAGACTGTGAATACAACATACACCGAATGCTGAATAGTGCTTCGTCAATCGTCAATACTTGTGTTGGCTCAGCCCAGTAGTCATTTGGAAGTTCATGTCTGTTAAACACAAACGAATGTGGGTATCCATTTTGTATTCGGTTCCGTGTTGTTGGCGAATTGTTGGTGCAGTGAGTATCTGATGGATTGGATCTGTGATGGTGATACATTGTCCATTATTACGTCTCAAACTTTCATGAGTTGACACCGCCTATTAATAAACCGGTAAGCGCGAGGTGAAGGCCAATTCTGTTCAGAACTGAGATAGTATTTTCGGAATTGAACGGAATGTTTCAAGATTCGCCATCTGATTACCCGTCTACAATGGACGCATTGATGCGCAGAGCACATCTGTACTGCCTACTCGTCAATGTTACAGAGTTGAGCTATCCACAAATATGGTATGGTTCGATCTTGCGCAAATAAAATCGGATTACAAAGTCATTAGACTACGTCGGAGGTGCTCGATACTCTTGAGTCGGTTTGAAGGTTGAAATTGTACATTGACTGGAAACAAGACCACTGTGCGTTGTGAGAAAACCGTGTATCACGTTGTATGGTGCTCATCGGGTTGACAATCATAGGCGGGTTCCACAGCCTATCGAATACATAGTTTTGTTCTTAAATCCGCATAGATGATTGTTTTTTAGACGTTTATACATGTGCGTACGTTTACTTTTGTATATACATAAAGTATTTCAAAATATCCTGTATTGTTTTTATTTTATTAAAAACCATTTTTTTTTGTTTGATATTCTGCATACATCGATCTTCGATACACATCAAAATTCTCGCACATGTAGCTAGGCATAAAGTTTGGCTTGTATGTAAACTTACGTGGGTCAGCAACCCGCTCAAAGGAGCTATTGATCCGGCGACAATGCACGTTTAAGTACTCTATCAATGTCTGATATGAAAACGCTTAGTTGTTTTGCTCTGTATGTAATTTTTGGCTGTATGTGCTGATTCAGTGTGCTGCAACAAACACACGTCTGTAGCGTTCTCTAGAATACTCCGTGAACAGACACGGACGATTTCTGAACCATCTGATATCTAGGCCTACGTGAGAATCGGAAGACCAACTTCAGAAAGGCGCCCCAACAGTGATGGTACCCATGTCTCAAAATCCTGTGTGTAATATTCTACATCAACTCTCTGCATATCGACGCATTTGCCTATGCTTTAGACGACCGTGGACTCGCACAGGCCTTCGGTCTGGTTGCTCTGAACACTCTTTGCAACAGTAAATGAACTTCTCGTGCAGTATGCACTGCTTCTGGGCATCATGGTCCAGTATGAGGATGCAATCCCTACTAAAAAGCACTGCAACCTTGGCTGGTTAGAAAACGCAGTATGAATTCATAACGCTTCAAGCCCGGTTGAATAATATACCGCCTCACTCCCGTATTCGTTGCCCATTGTTTGTGTTTTTAAACGTTAACCCTCAGGATCATATCACTATTCCGACTATGCGGTTACGCATACCTCCTCCGATTTGCAATCTAAATCTTCATTGTCTACTCGTCTATAATCTGGGCAGTCTTCAACGAAGTATATTGCACGCTTTCTCCGCCGGTCTCATTTGTCCGCGCAAAATTTCTGGCCCAACACCACCCCTGTGTATACAAAACCCAACATACCCCGACACCTAGCTGCTGACTACCAACTAGTCATCTCAACTTCGATATTCTCTGCAATATGCATTAGCTTCCACTCGTAAACACTCTGCAACGACTGTACAGCAATCAATAGTATCGTGCAAGGCCACCACCCAACTCTTCTATAACTCCCGGCTGTGCGTACTTGATAACTTGGTTGGGGACTGGTATCCGTGCAACCCGACCTTACACGTACACCACAGTAAAACAAATGATGCAAGCTTTCTCGTTCCTTAGTGCCTAAATTCAAGAGGTTGTCCCTCACACATACACTAGCGTGGACGAACGCGGAGCTTTGACACTCGCCTCCCGAGTTCAACTAAGATTCTAACACCTCCATTACTTCCTTTACTACCCATGGGCTATACTTGGCATGTTCCCGACATTTTCCCGGCTAGCCGTCCCGTCCACTGTGATGATTATGCGGCTACTTCTCCGCCTCCGTGCCGGCCCTGTAATCTGTGCACGCTGCGGTTGGGGCAATATTTCCACGCCCATATCAGCCATTAAATCGCCATTAGATATCACCGACGAAATAGACCCTCGCGGGTGCCCCTTTTTTACGTGCGACTCAAAGCTCCGCGAATACGGTGCGGGTGCCACGAACTCATCAGCAGTCGGACTCGATCTCGTATTTGGGTCAGCCGCGTCAAACGCTTGCAGATAGTCCAATGACTGGGAGTGTGCTACCGTTTTCTTATCCTCTCCTGTGTGGGAAATCATCTCCTTTAGGGCCATCTGAGCATTCGTACTCGCCCGCCGCCTCCGTCCACTGGATAGAGCGCTTGTGTCACTTACCACCCCTATTTCGGTGGAGCTGTTGCTGTATTCACACCTGGTATGGCTCTCCTCTCCCACCTCGCGTTGCGAGTTGCTACTGGTGCTGTTTCCATCACCAGGGGTTTGTTTTAAAGTACTATTACAAAAGTGTCTGCCGGGATTACCGCTGTCGTTGCTGTCTACCGCGTTGCAGTCGTGGTTTACACTGCTTTCCTTGTCCATCTCATCCGTCTCGTGCACCGTGGATTGTGTCTTTGTCCGCTTCTCACCCTTCTCGGTCGTCGGATCTCCTCCCTTTTCGTTATGCTTGGCTTTTCCTTTGTTGTCTCGGCCACCCCACCACATAAAGGAGCCGAACCCGCCACTTTTCTTTCTGGGCGTTGCTGGGCTAGTGTAGTTCTCTTGCACGCTAACCGAGGTACTTTCATCTTCCAGGATCGGTAGCGATACAGATGGCACTGATTTCCTGCGAAGTCCAGCATCGATACCGCGGCTTCCATGACTACTAGCGGCCGACTGTGTGGTTGAGTGAATATAACAGGAATAAACACTTACAATGCACCTGATATCAGCGAGAGAAGCGAAGTGCGTGCGCAGAGCTTGGGTCCGTGCCAGAAAGGACTGCACCACACGTACGCTACAAGAAAAATCACATGATGCAATCTATTAATAGGTCTCTATGAGGAGGGGTATAAGAAGGATGCAAGTTAAGGGTCTGAAGGTTTTGCTTTTTGACGAGATGCAAGTTGCGCCGAAATAGTCGTCATACCTTATATTGCTATACACGCTTTAAGCAGACCGAATGACCAATACAAAGAAGCCCTGATTAACGTATGAGCTTGTAAAATTATGCAATATATATATATATATATATATATATATATATATATATATATATATATATATATATATATATATATATATATATATATATATATATATATATATATATATATATATATATATATATATA